TTCGCAAAATGGAAACAGACATTTGAAAGATTGTTTTCTCGCCGTAACTGTTTTTCATTCTCATCCCCATCATCCTACTCTTCGTCACCTTTCTTTCCCTACAACGGCACTGAACTTGTCAAATTTGTCTAAGACGTGTCCAGCACCTCCATTAATTCTCCATAAAATTCCCCCACACCTTTGCATTACCGCTCTTTGTCCCCTTCACAAATTCTCCGACAGCTGTCTGGGGTTCGAATCACGCTTGGTCAGTGTGTTATTGCGATTGAATTGCATGGGCTGTTAGAGAGTTGCGAATTCAATCCCAAAGTGTAAGTTGCAGTTAAATACCAAATAATGGAAATGGAAATATTCATATGAAACTTGGTCAGGAAGGCTAACAACTATTAATTTTGTTACTAAAGCAATACGGAAGGGCAGTTGGCGATCAAATTGGCCATTTTTATTACAGCGAAGGTATCGAAATTTTGCTCTAATAAAATTCTACTTAAAAAAAAAGCCAACTCGGTACCTTTTATTCGTATAGGAAAATATGTACAGATACCCATTCCCTTGCGTTAATGGTATATTTAAACGGTTTCGACAACGATAACAGTAACTAATGGTTTATTAACGATACCCCATCTACTGTAGAACACTAGAAGAATGACCTGGACCAATGAATATAGACGAGAACTAAGTTAGACTCAAGTAGTAACGGTAAAGATGCCGGTTTTTGGCGATATTTTCACCAACTACGTTGCCAAACACTTGAACTGTCCAGACATTATGATGTGTTTGGAAATGATTAAGATCTTCAACACCGGGTTTGCTAACACGTTGACGAAATGAGGTTGGATTGTGAGTCCCCTCCACGAGACTATTCATGATCTGTACGTGAAACCTATTCAATCCAACTCGGCAGATGACGACAATGATACTGCGCTTGATTTTGGTAGCGCTGCGTTTCAGCAATCATCTTAAAGTGTCGACAGGAACATTATCATTTGAACATTAAACAAGTAGAAGTTATACTGAAAGAGCGCGGACATATCAGAAAACGCAACAGAACTTTGCAATTGCACGGCTTAAAAATTATACGCCGGAACGAGGAGAGTTCACGAGGCTAAAGACGTGTATATTAAAGTAAGGTGGGAAATCTACATGACCACTGGAGCG